CATTCAGGGGTTGTGAGTGGAGCCGGACAGGAGGCCTGAGCCCTCCAGGCCTGCTCATGCTCCAGACCTCTGGCTTCCGGCACCAGCTCCACCTGGCCGAGTTTTGTGAAAGTCCAAAGAGGTTTGCTGCTGCCCTCTGTGTAGGGCACAGATTCCCACGGCCCCGCCTCCTTGGTGCTGGCTTGCGTATTGGGACAGAGGGCCCTGACCTGGGAGACCCCAGCCTGGCGCTCAGGACACCTGCCGCAGCGGCTTGAGCGCTGTCCATCACCTCTGTGGGGACCCCTCCTTCAGAAGGGAAAGAGCTTCCCTGGAGCCTGCGGGTGCTTCGGTGCTTCCGGTGACCCGTGAGGCTCTGCAGCGTGTCCGCAGCATGTTGAGCTCCTGGGTGTCTCCCTGAGAAGAGGCCCCAGGGCTTCCTATTGTTTTCAGGGCGCTCTGAACCTTGTGCATGTGAACCTGGGGCAGTGGGCATCCTGGCAACCCCTTCGGATTCTAAGAACAGGGGATTTGGGCAAAGGGCAGTTGCTAGTTTGCCCGTCCTTGGCGGGAGCTTGTGTACTGATGGGCCCCCGACTTTTCCAGACCACGTGACCAGAGAGAAGCTGGACCGAATCCTGGCAATGATCCAAGGCTCCCATCAGAAGGCCCTGGTGACGTAAGTGGAGCCCTGCGGACACCTCCCCAGAGGGGGCTCTCCAGGCCCGCCCCCCCTGCGGCATTTTCTTTGTCATTATCATCTCTTGAGTTGAAGGTTCTTTACTGGCCCTCCTCCAAACAAGTAGCTGCCACTGGGGGAAGAGGGGTTAAGGGGTGGGGGTCGTCTCCACACCACACCATTGATACACAGCGCTAACAGCACAGAGTCACTGTTGCGGTTAGAAGTCGGCAGCCTCGAGAGGCGGCGGAATAGGTGGGGTGTGGGGGTGTTGTTAAAAAAACCCAGGCCCCCGCAAACCCAGGGGGACTCAGAAGAGCAGGAACAGTTTGGAAAGGCCAGAACCATCAGGGCTGGGGGATGGAGGAAGGTTTGAGGGGTGGGGGCGGGGGCCCTACTCTCTGGTCTGGCAGGAAGGGGGGCAGCCTGCTGTATGCGTCCCCCACCAACAGGCACAGAGCCCCTTTTTAGAATCTGAAACCACATACCAACGCACCCAT